CCAGATGCAAAATCCTTTATTTTCAGTTTACAAACGATTCTTTATGTTCAACCGTAAATTTTTGAACATTACACAATCAATTTAGGCAGTGAATAGGCGCTCAACAATTGCTTAGTGAATTCTAGACCCAAAATGATTAAAATTCGCCTTGGGTCCATAAATTATGAACCTTACCAAAATAAAACGGGTTTCCTTGCATAAATAATTCAATTTCATATGCCTTTCTAATTGGTATTCGCTTTATGTTGGCCATATTTAATGAAGCGCAATCCTGTTAATATTTTGAGTACAACCCTTTACTAATATGGAATGATAGACTTTCCAGTTGTCTGAAGTCTGAGCTAAATTGTGGTAAGCAATTTTTTGCACGTTTTTAGCCACCCAGACACTAGTTAGCAACAGTTTATGTGCCACGTTTGCCGACATTTATTTGAACTAAAAGTCGTAAAAAAAATGTGTTTTACCCAAAACTTCACATTTTGCAAACATCCGGTCAGAATTCAGCTTGAACCAAAGAAAAAATACAGGTAGTCAACCTTAAGGTTCAATTAGACGGAAAGATCATTCACCAGGATTGCATCCATGCATGCTGGCCGCCTCCAATCTACATTTAACTGTACTTTAATTTACTGATAAATGCAACATTGACTTGACCCGACAGTAATTTTTTTCTTCAACAAACCAGGACTTTTTAGCAATCTTGAACTACGCACCCAACAACATGGACTTCAAATTTAAGCCTTAAAAGTACCAAATGTTGCAGCTAGTTTTATCGGTTTGCTTGAGAAATTGCCCAAAATGCGCATAAGTTCACCGTGATTAACTGAGCACCACTTCGCGGATTTCGGGACTTTGCAAGTATTGGAAAGAAAAAAACCTGAAACTAACACTGACGAAACATCAACATCGGGTTTTTACATCGGTCGATAGATGATTAAACCGTAGAATATTCTTTCTTTTTACATCGGTCGATAGATGATTAACCCGAAGAATATTGACTGTACAGTTGAGTCCGGATATAACGAACTTGAAAACTGAACTAAAACTGGTTTGTTATATCCGGAGTTCGCTATAAGCGAATAATAATACAAAACCACGTGGTGTATTTTATTTCGTTATTTTTACATAGAGTAGTAGAAGTTAGTAGGTATGACTAAAACGAACACAAAAAGATAAACAAAATTCAATTTGAAATCTACTTCATTACCACTTAATAAATCCCTTGTCAACCTTTTCATGTGCAGATAATTTACACTTTATTATCACTAATATAAACAACTCCGCACGATTGGTGTTCCTGAGCGTGGAAATTCGTTATAAACGGAAAGTGAATATACAACAAACCTAAAAAGTGATCGTTATATCAGGAAGTTCGTTATTAACGGGCTCGTTCTAACCACTAAAAAAATACGTTGGTCTTTATGGACGACGTTTCAATTAAAGGAAAAAAGTTCGTTTTAACCGAAAGTTTACTTTAACCGGGTTCACTATAAGCGGACTTTACTGTATTTCATAGTCAAAACTTATTATAGAAATTTTTGATATTTTATGGGCAACAGGTATGTTCGTAATGTTGATGACGGCGGTTAGCTTGGAAAACATTGTTGCATAATTTCTGATCTAGTTTTTTTGAAAATATCGCAGTTTCGATAAGAATTACTATTTTTCCGCTATTCGCTAAAAACCCCCAGAGGAATGACGCCAACTTTGAATCACCCTGTATACAATTATGGGGGTGCGTCTAGCGGTAGCGCAGATATTTTCATATGCGCGTTGTTTGAAAGTTGACATTTAGCACCCTGAAGTATTTTTGTAAAAGAAATTGAGGGAGCATATTTAAACAATTTGCACTCAGTTGCCTAAATAGTGTTGGCAAGCGAGTTTCTTTAACGGCGCTAAATGTAAATTTTCAAACTGCTATTAACAGAGCAGTCAAAACTGGCGCATATGAAAATGTCTGGGCTGACGCGTCAATTACGGTAAATTTACAAGAGATGCGGCCCAGCTCCGATATCCGGGATTGCCGATGTTATTTTTACTTTCCTTAACCAATATCGACAAAAACTTGAAAAAATACCCATAGGAACTCAAATTCCACTACTTAATTTAAGCAATTAGGCAAATGCGCAAAAGAGTTCAAACGGGTTGTGACAGCAGACGTCATGGAGACGTTTTCTTGTAAAAAAGTAGTGAATTTCAATGAAAAACGCATTTTCCTGCTGGAAATGCTGCTAGTAAAGGACGAACTACAAGGTGAGGTAAAACTATTCGTTAACTTTATTATTTAAGAACAACACCCTGTATATCGCGAAAGAATAAAAAATCAGGAGCAAGTTGGAGCTGTTAATTGTTAACCTCAAACGTGAGCAACAGGGTTGTCTTAGCCCTAGGAAAGATTGATTACTTTCCTTATAAAATATGTTTAATTCTAAGGCGAAACTGGAAATTATCTGCAAACTATGCAATCGCACCATGCGGAATTCTTGTAGAATAACCTAACTTCAGTTGTGTGGACAGGCTTGAAGTTTAACCAGATATAGATAGAAGCTGAAGAACCACATTGAAAGTAACCCGCCGAAAAAGGACTGAGGCATCGCTATAGATCCATGCTGATTCATGAGTCAGCAACCCATTATTACTTAACCTATTCTTTTAGGTTCAAACTGGCCGTTGCTAACTTGTTCTATCATAAGGACAAGATACTTGATAGCTTTCCTAGAAGAATCGGTTTTCTTCTGATGCTAACTGGGCTAAGGAACAAGCCAGCTGCGAACTAAGCATTAAAAGCATGCAGAATCTTTGGAGGATCAGGGTCAATGACCCAACTGATGCCAAAGCTATGATCTAATAGTTCAAAGTTAGAGCTGGATGCCACAAACTCGTTTGCTGGGATGGCAGTAGGGAAAGACGAAGCAGACTCAAGTTGTTAAAACCAGATTAAAAGCTAAAAGCTCAGAAAAAGCATGAATGGAATGTGATGAAAGAAGACCCACACTGACTGGTGATGAGTCAACAACCTATTAATGTTTTCTGCAAAGTTGGGGGCTCAATCTTCCCGTCAAAGTGGCTGCTCCAAAAAGGCACTGTGGGTTTGAGATCAGAGCGCACATGAATGTTCTGAGTAACTGGCAAAAAATTAGAAAATTACAGTAGAGCGTGCCTGGATTGGCATGGTAGGGAATTCAGCTCAGATAAATATAGCAGGCAGGGCAAACAAAAGATGGGGCATTGAAAAGAAACACAGAGAAAAAGGAAATGAACATCGGAATGTGTTGGGAGGGACCTCATTGGCATAAGGAATACAATGTGGAAACGCAGCAGCCCATGGAGCTGAAACGAGTTCTAGAAGTAGGCTGGGGGTTAAACGGTTAACCCCAAGGGTTTAGCAGTTGAATCAACCCCAACCTGGGAGGCGGGGGGTGTTTTTTAACGGTCGAACAGACGCAATAGCCAACTCACTCAAACCGCCATTACGCACCGCTTTTCCGCTACTTTTCAGCACCAAATCGGCACCCAACTGATGATCCTTTTGGCTGGACTATTCCATGGATCACTGGGCCGCATCAGTCCGAGTAAACCGTCGATTTTTCTGTCAATTTAACCGAAATTTTCGCTTGTTCCCGTGCTCCAAACAAAATGGTTTCCGATGTACCGATTGTGGCGGAAGGCACGGCAGGCGCGACTAAATCCACGTCGAAAACCATCGAAATATCGATCGATCACGGTTTGTTCACGATAATCATCTTGGCTGAGGACCGAAGTTTCGTCTTGATTGCTCTGAGAGCCCGGAAATGGTCTCGCAAAGCTGAAAATGGCCCGGAAATTTCGCCTCAAAATCGACTTTCCGCGTACAGTTTTGACTGCTGTTACAAAACATCTGCCATCTGTCCCGGCATTGGCGCGAACTGCCAGGCATGCGCCTCCTACGTTCTTCCAGATGATTCAATAATTCTGCGTGCCCGACCTGAAACTATTGTACTCATTTCGGTACAATTGGAGGGCCGTTATCATAAATATTCCAGGTGTTTTGACAGTTTTGAAGTTGGATTTGAAGCGTGTTTAATAGATTTCTTCAGCTGGACCTTTTGACGCGAAAGAATATGAAGATGGGGAGCAAGATGCAGTTTCAAAAGTCCCACTATCTTCAAAGTTCATTTCAAGATGAGAGCTTCCATTATACCAACGGTTTAGAAAAGAAGAAAATAACCAATCAATTAAACTTAATTTGAATAAAGTAGATGCGTATCTCCTCAAAACGACGCAGGGTCGCCATTTTCACAGATTGGCAACAATGCACAAAGTTTTTGCTTAACCTGGAAAATTTTCTGTGTTTGCTCGCTGATTTTATTGAATATTGACAATCCCAGTTTTTTTTCGAATTTTTGGAAAATGTACAAATTCCAGTTGGACTACTTTTCAACGCGCCCCCGTAGTTAATTTTCGAATACATTTTCTCTAGTGGTTTTCAACTTACCAGTTTTCCAGTACAATAAATGAGGGGCCCCCGTACAACTTGGCCGGCCAAACCCTGTACAATTGGCTGACTCACTTAGTACAATTCGAGCACCTATAAATATTTTCCTCAAGATTTACCTGCCCGGACAGCTGAGTAGCCGGATGATCAAATCGGCGATTCTCGTTTGTCAGAAGTGGTTGAATTATGATAGAAGCCGACTCTGATCCCGAATTTCAGGGCCTACTTGATCGACTGGAGATCCCCGATGTAAACAAAATCTGCAACTTCCCGACGTGGTGGGGAACCAACCAACACGAAATCGCTGTCAGTTCTTAGCCCGCGTTGTCACATCATCGCACCTTGGTAGGTTTTTTGGTGTTTTGTGTGGTTTTCCGAAAAAATCGGGGGGGTTTTACGGGGCAACACTGTAACGGGAAATGCAACGCGCAGATTGGTTGGCGCAATAGTGTAGCCAAGGAAACCCCGAACACAAATGTCAAAGCGGCCTGTCAGAAGCGAGCAACCGTTTTCAACAGATGGTTTTGTGATTTTTTTTTAAACCAAAAATGTAGAAAAAACAAGAATAAAACACATTTCTTGAGGGAGTTTGATGGGAAGTCCTCATAAGAACTTCATGCGCGCATCAGGTAAGCCCATATTCCGTCAAATACTTGCCGAAATGTCCGGTTTGGATTTTGATGCTGTCTTTGAACACGCAAAATGCAAATTTTGCCCTTTCTAAACACGATTAATACACGCAATGATTACTAAAAAATAAAATTTAAAAGTCTGTGAAAATGTTCCGTATAATACAGTTCAGTATAGTACATACTGTTCTACATATTGATTGAAACATAAAAAATATACTGGGTCACCCAATGGAGGCAGCGCTGCGGCCCCGAGTTTTGCAGTTGTTGCGCTAAAAAACGTAAAACGCTCGAAAACGTGATTTTTTTATTTAAGATTGACAACTTTTTGTTGCGGTACTTTCAACACTCTAACTTCAACCACTAGGCGAGATTGTAGTTATCCCCAACATTTCTAATAGGATGATGCTGAATAAGTCGATGATGTCTTATTTTCAAGATATTTTAATCCCATTTAGAAACCTACTTAAATATAAACGTTTCAATGATACGATGTTGCATCGGTACAAAAGAGTCAAGAACAAAGAGAAAAAATCATTCAATAAGTCCCCAAATAACTGAATCAAGAAAGGAGGAAAATGAGGGATCGCCAGCTCAGAAATGAACGAAAACATTAAAAACAAGAATCCAAAACTTACAACCAAAGCGAGATGGCCAAACTATAGAGAATAATAAATGCTTGAAAGTTGAATCATTATACAAGACTAACAGAGAGAAAAGGGCAAATGAAGATTCATCTGAAGCACCTCTGAAGGGGCATGCATGCGAAACGCGAATTTTTTTTTCAGCTTGCACTCCTTTCAATGCCCGAAAAATTTACCAGTTTTGGGGGCGAAGTTCTAGCGATTTTTCACTTTGTAATGATTTTTTGCTCCAAATCCATGGAAAAAATCCCCGAAACCCATCGATCAACAGTAGGAAATAATTAGAAATTCCGATAAATGTACGCTACTGCTGTAGCCGGCCCCCCTGAAGTTCAGCCAGGTTTCACGGGCCACGAGGACATCGTCCCGGAGGTCTAAACCTCGTTTCTTCCCAGCATTTCCTGGACAAATCCAGCTGGATTTGTCCCTTAATCTACCCTCCAACCATGCCAGACTTACCGAAATTCCTGCAGTCAGAAAGTGGTCACTCTCGGTAAGATATTCGTTCAGGTTAGGCCAGTAGTAGCCGAACAGAAACCGATAGTTTTCTAGCTGAACGATGCGAAATGAACCAGTAGAGAGCAAAAGTGAGCCATTGGCGTGCAGACGAAAATTTTGGAAATTTATCCAGAGATAACAGTGTTTACTTGGCGCCTTTATACGTGCAAAAATTAGTGTTATCTAATTGCAATTAGCAAATATGGAGCTTGAGTTAAAATTATTATGCTTTTATTAGAATTGATGCAATTCATATTAAATAAACTTTTTTGCGAGTAAGCCACCAGAAAAAACTCGGGAAACTTCGCAACTGAGTGAGAAAAAGCCTCCTTGATTAATATATTTGTTGCTTTATTAATTATGAGCATAAAACGACAATACTGAACATCAAGATTTTAATGAATGCGAAGTTCATCTTGAGTGAGTCTTTCAGTTGAACACTATTCGGATAGAAGCATTTGAAAATCATTGGATGCAAAAATTCCACACACATAAATGGTAGATTTTACTTTTAAAAGAGCTTGCTGAGAAAATTCCCACTTTGTGTGATTGATTTTATTTTTCTCCTCGTCGCGACGTTGTCAAATGAAAATTGTGTAAGAAATGCGCAGCACCGCCTATGCCGCTTTATTTCCACGTTTTTCTGCTCCACATTTTTCAGTTCAGTCAAAGCCAGCGAATCCGCTTTAAACGCGTCTCCAAACGCAATTTAGTTCAACTAGAATTTGTCCTCAACATTTCATAATTTTTTTTCAATTCCTTAATTCTTAACTAGCTGTCGCCACTTCTTGATGCTAATGCGATAATCACATTATAGCTTCCAAAAATCCTAAGTATTTGAAATAATTTTTATCCCTCTATCCAAAAAATAATCAATAAATGAATGAAATTATGCCACTTTAAAAATCTACACGTCATTACCCTGTATGTATGGATGATATTAGAACGTTTGTCCTAAATTCACACTTTTATATTGATCACAGTCCGATTTGCATAAAAAAATAATTGAAACGCTCTTTAAAAGAACTGATTGTTCAAGTGTGTTCACTTCGTTTACTCGTCATCATATCACATTTATCTTCTATTTAAAAGCGTGGTAAATGCGCATTAGGGGGGAACAAGGAAGCTTGCCTAATGTGTGAATGAGACAAAGACGAACATCGCTCGACTTGAATCGACGGCGGCCAGCCAGGAACTGTTCTCTTTCTAACACACACATGTTCCAATGATTCCTCATAGCTTGGCCGCTGTGCTTGGTTATATTTTCAATATTTTCAAATAGCAAAAATGAGAATTTTTAAATGTTTTTTATAATGTCGGAAACTTCCTATTCGTATCCTCACTCTATAAATCCAAACCAGTGTTTTGGTGCAATTTGAGACAACCTGTATATCGGGAAGATCCAAATGAAACAACCTTTCAATTATTTTATTTATTTATTAATTATATACTACCGTGGTAAAAAATAATAAAATCGAAATACATTATCATACATATTGATTGGTATCCTAATGAATAAACTAGCATGCATCAATATAACTAAATTTACACTCATGGAACAGATACATTTATCGCAATACAATAAATAAAGGGCAATCAGAAGGTTTTCGAGCGTGGTCCGTCCAACAAAAGAATCAATCAAACGAACGGAATTCTTAATGGGAAAAATTACAAACTGCTCGTAATTGTTTCGGAGAAAATGTAAAACTAAAAAAATAAACATTCTGTCAAACAACCGACAAAAACCTTCCGATCACATGGTTATAATATACAGCCGTAGATTCGCAGAGAGCCATATTGTGTGAAAATAAGTGATCCCCATCCAGCTACCCTAAAATAATCGGGTCGACCCCCTTTATTCAAGCGCCCCCGACAAAACGGGGCTTGGGAATCGTCCCTTAACTGAAGAAAAAAAGCCAATGCCAAAAGGCAACGAATTCTCATCAAAAATACACGTTTTTTTGTAGAGATGAAAATCCTTTACATTCCAGCGCCAAAAATAAAAAGTCGCTTTGAAACAATCGAATTCTAAAATTAGATGTAGTTTACAATAATGTTTAAACAATTACAGTATGTATGGTTGTTGGTATGTAACGGCTCATTTTACAGATTCATTTTTACACATGTATTATACAGTTGATTAAGGTGACTTAATTTTAAATCAAAAAAAGAAATTTACAATTTACAATAATTCCGTTTTTTTAGTATCTTTACATCAGTCTGCCATATTAAAGTTAAAAAGTTTGGTGGCCGTTTTGTAGGTAGATTCTCCCCGCCGCTGGCTTGATTCGTTTAAAACCTTAAGATTGAGAAAGCACTTGTTTAATTGAAATTTCGATCGCAGAACTAAAGCCAGATCAATTATTTGTTTTGAGATTTAAACCATCTAAACCCGGTTTTTGCTTGAGACTAAAAAAAGGTCACAACAAGGCTTAAAACCGCCTGCAAAATACTTTGTTGTGAATCGCATTTACAATGCAATCGATCAAATATATACACATAATTTACTATTAGCGGAAGGGGAGCTATTTTGTTATCTTTCAAGTTGGTGCATTAAGTGTTCAAGCTGCTTTAAGAGCTCCGCAATCGGAGAGAGAGTAAACAGGCTGAAAAAATTGTTTGAAACGCAAAACGCCAACTGTAGCACACTTTTCTAAGAAAAAAACGGCTAATTGCCGTCGCTGGTGAGAGTCTGATGTTCCCGCATAAAATCGCATTTTAAACCCTACAGTGGACAAGTTACTAAGTGTTAAAGGTTAGTACTGGCTTTGTTATCTAAGAAGTAAATATATACAGCAATTGTACAAAAGTAAAAAACACGTGACGTGAATGAGAATGACTGTTAAACAATAAATAATGTCGATATATTACAAACGTGTGCGGGATGAAGACATGAGGGATGATTCTCCGTTATCTAATAACAGGACTGTAACTGAGTGAGAGCAATACGTGGAAAATGTTTTTAAACGTTCAGACCCACAGAAAACCGGTGGGTTTCTCCTAGTCAAAATAAATTGCTTTTAAAAGGGACGCCCGAGGGTTCTTTTTAAGCCCAGTTTACATTCACAGACTTTGCTATTTTGAATTTTTTGCCGCTGAATTTAAAACGGTGGAAAAATCAATGATAATAATACATTTTCCAGTGTTATTGCTCTTCTTCCTTACAGTCCCGCTCTGGAATGGGTTTTCGAGCAGGGAGCGTGATTTTGATTATAAATTGACCAAGTCCAGAACGATTCGACATGATATGGAAAAACCATCAGACTCCACCAATTGATTAAGTGTCTTTGTACCAGATGAAAGGAAAACGTTAAAGTGTTAGTAAACAAATGGGGATAGAACCCAAAATAAAAATACACATAAATACCGTACAGTTAGTACACGACATTTAAATGCAACATCAATAAGTATTGGTTGGGTTATTCGACTCGTATTTCGAGAACCGTTGCAGTTTGGGAAATACGAAAATCCAAACGTCGTACATAATTCAATGGAATTCCAATGGGAGAACGTAATGAAAGGAATAACTGTACAATTATTACAATTAACACTTTACACAGTATTATATTATGAAGTCAATACTTTTTGCATAATAATCGTGCCATCAAATTCTACAAATACATTTAAAATTCCTCTACATTAATAGTAACTGGTTAAATTCATCTAAGGGGTTACACGAAAGTTTTTAGGTTTGTCTTTAAAACACCTCCAACGTTAAATGACAAATTTTTCCTATCAATTCCATCAAATCAATCGCAAATGAACGATGTCGAAAGTCACCCCCGAAAAATGTACTGCAGAAATTGGGATAAAAAATTTGCCACTAACCTTCACAATTAGTCCTTTTCTAGCGTGCCCGCGAATTCTTTTAATATTCCAAATAATACTTCACCATTATTTACAAAGAAAAATATAAAATTGTACAAATTATACATGGTTCGATTTGTTTCATTTTTACAAAGTATAGATTTCCTTTCTTTAAATTAATATTTACAGCGTCAATGTCTTATGATACAATTTTTCTCACAGTCGGAAAGAAAACTTTCTTGGTTTCCCTACACAAAAACTTTACAAACGGGCGGCACGCGAACAAAACGATGGTAATTTTTTTACAATATACCGCGCATTATTAAATTATATCAATAAAATTTAATCATTTACAGAGGGGATTCTATTTTACAAATAAAATATATCTAATTATATAAAAGTTCAGCCTTTTTGCAACGCGCGGCCCCGACCGCCCCACAATTTCGAGCCAAAACGCCCACACCACCATCAGGGTAATTAACTTTTGATTAAACTGCCGACAATTTTCCGACTCAATGTCTAAATCACCAACCACAACTCTGTATTTACACAGGATTTAGTTATTTAATCAATTGAATGTAAACTTGTAAACTGTTGTGAAAACAAACTCAGCATATTTGGCACATGTCCTCTTCAAGTAATTACAATACTGTCTCACTTTTTACAGCCTAAAGGTACTTTACAAACATCTACAATTCTTTACAAATATCGAAAGGCGGCATTTTCGCGCGAAATTGCTATCGGTCGAAGCCACAGAGTTTTCTATACAGACGCCCCAAAATGGATGAGCAATTTTGCAGTTCAAACGTGAATTTGCAGACGAAAACTGCCCAGCAAAACAGGGTAGTCCTGTGTATAATTATAATAATAAAATCTTCCTATCCGACTAAAAAACTCACAAGCGCATGTGAAGTATTCCTAGAAAATTAACAGAACTCCTTTACCGACACCACCACCACTCGATTCGACTTCCACTTACCAATTCGGGGCGTGCCATTTCTAAAGCCGCAAATCAACATTTCTGAGGATTTTCGGACAATCATTGATGATGATGAGTGATTTTTCAACTTTAAAAATGGTATCGACCCCCATAGTCTTTATGTTAAAAACCCAGCTAAAACTACTAGTAAATGCAGCCTTACGTGCTTCAAATGGGATTAAATGTATTTACTCGTTAAAAATCTTAAGTGCCGGTGTGTTGAAAACAAACATCGTGCAAGTGAACGAAAGAAATGAACATTGGAAAAGCGGTGTTGCACGAGTTCGAAACCGTGGGATAAAATTGAAATAAATAACCGACCATCGGGGGAAAAGCAACGAAGAACAACGAACGGTGTGGAAAATTTTGCATCCATCATTTCCATGGACTTTTCTTCTCAAGTTGACGATCAAGAATAATATTACTTCCTGAGGTCTTTATCACAATATTTAAAAGGTACCGACTCGGAAAGGGTGCACGTAAATGTATCGTAAAGAGTTAGAAAGAGATATTCACTTATTCAACCGGGGAACCTCATTTAAGTCCGTTTGTTTGATTTTTTGAATTTTGCATACTAAATGAGATTTTCCGATACGGGATTATATAAGGGGGACACTTATCAAAAAAATTCTTGAATGCTATATAGTAGTAATTAATAGTCCTTCTATGTACAAACTTTACCATTAGCATAGTGTAGAATGTTGCTTTACTCTTATCCATTCGACACATGCATATTTATGTGTGAGATTCCGAAACTAAACCGTATTATATCATGTTCACGACAGTCAAAAATTAAACATAACTTGGAGATAAATTGAGCAGCGAAAACTCCGACAGAAACGCAAAAAAATAATCAATCACTAACCTATGAATACGTGTACGAAGTAGGTTTCTGAACGGTCGCTCGCCACTTGGGTGCTCAACTGTTCGGCTATTCACTTTTGTATTTAAATATATTTTTATATATTAAGTGGGTTTCTATGAGCATACTTGGGTCCTTACTAATTAGAAGGTTTTAAAAAGCTATAAAATACTTTTGTAGGGCCAATTGCTATTCATTATGTTTATGACGGAAATTAAATTGTTTTGTACAAACTTATTTGAGCACATTGCGATCGTTTGCTGACTAGTGACTGTTGAATAACTCCATAATCAAACACCAAACAGAGTCCGGAGCTGTGCAAAAAAGTTAAACAATTAAATATATTTGTTAAAAAGTGCATCTGAATAAACTAATTCAAACAATGAACAGAGCGATTTGTCTTGAGCACCCAATAGAATAACGCTGCCAATCAAGAAACTCCAAAAGCAGTCGAAAATCACCTAACACTACCTAATATATTGATTACTAGAAACCTAAAAGCGAAACTAAAATGTAACTACTTCGGTGTACTAAACTATAAACTAAGAAAACCTAAAAATATAGCCGCACGTCTAAACTGAAAAGCATTTAGGAAGCGATATCGGACGTAACCGCTTGGCTTACTCACATGACAATCATTATAATACAGACGGAAAAATTAATAGCGTGAAATTCCACGTGCGAAAGGTGCGAAGGCGTGTTGCTTTTGATTCGTTCCCGGTTACGTTTAGGCGGGGCCCGATTTTCGCACGTAGCCTATACAAAATGAAACTGATCTATTGAAGACTACAGCTAAAACTTAAACTGTACTGATATTATATGGAAACTCAGAAGAGTTGAAAACCGAAAAGGAAAATACTGGGATTACGGCCGTAAGTTCAATCGGCGCAACTCAATAAGAACGCCAATAAAAACGCAACCTCCAAACCCATAATATTGAATGAATCATCAAGGTTCTATTCTATTAATTCACCCCAACTTTAGTGCATGTTTCCTGTTAAGATTTTTTTGTTTGCTTGTTTTGGTTTTCCTTACAACGGAAATTTGCAGTTGCCTTCAGTTGATATTTTCCACAAAAAGCGAAGTTTGCCGGGAACATCCAGTGAAGTAAACATTTCGCAAGGAAAACCAAAATTGAAAAGCCCCAATAATCAACATTTAATGTTTATTATGGCGACTTTTCCAAATTATTATAGCGCTTCTTTAAACGAAATGCGTGTTGTTTATGTTGTCATCAACCGCGCAAATCTCCAGCACGCATAATTCGTTCAGCGAGTTACAGAACCCCGTTAGTTGGGGGCCCGATTGGCCCCAATTCACCGCCAATCGTAATCGAGCCGGGCGTTTTCATGAAATATTTTTCCAGCTTGGCGATTATATGTTTGCCATAGGTATACTTGCGCAAAGAGTTCAGATGGGGTCTGATCTTGTGCATCAGCACTTTGCGTTGTGTCGGCTCGCTTACATCGATCATCTTCTGCACTACGTAGTTAGCGTATTGATCTTTCATCATCACGTGTAAAGCACTAAGGGAAAGCAAGCCAGCATTAGTAAGATTTAGAACGAACTAATTTAACCACTTACTTGTCGTTAAATCCGCACACTTCCTCAATCAATAGAGCCCTTTCGGCTCTCGTTGCATGTGTAACGCACTTTTCAACCACATTGCTGGCAAACTTGTGCTGGCTGAGCACCAGCACCTTTCCTCTGACGCTGGTGATCAGCTGAGACTTATCCTCGGGCTTGCCATGCTCTGATGAACAACCATGCTTAGTTAAATAACAGCGTTTCTTCGCGTTTTACCTCAACTCACCAAGAACATGCTGAATAACGTAGTTTCCAAATTGATCTTGAATCAGTTGATCGGTGTTCTGGTGCAGTTCGGCCAAAATCGGCGACGTTTGATCCGGAGTGCAGTGTTCCAAGATGCGCTGTATGACTCTGCAGCCATACGGGTGGGTGGAAAGATTGTAAACTTGAGTCGAAAAGGACGAGATGATAAACTGGAAAAAGTGAAATCGATCATCAATGCATATTCATCGAAGCAGCGTGTTCGCATCAGCTACCTGTAGTGCGTTGGGATCTACGCATTCAATGCATTTTTGCACCACGTGATTTCCGTTTTGATCTTTCACGCATTTCAAGACGTGCCCATCCAGTTCGCGAACGATTTCCTGCTGCTGTTCTGGCGGAATCGATTCGAGTGCTTTTTGTATAACTCGACAGCCGTACATTTGCAGAGCCAATGGTAGTACGTGGCCTCTAACCTAGAACGGACAAAAACCAGGAATTTTAAAAATCCACTATAACTAAATCACGCTTCTGTTCAGATGGTTTCTTATTTTTTCTTAAGATTTTCAATGCTGATTGTTCCCTATAAATTGTTCTTGCATTTAACCCTTCAGCAAAGCCGCTGTACCATTCAGTTTCTATATCGTTTGGAACAGAATCATAAATATTTAGCAGACGGTAAAATTGTAGTTTTAAAACAAATATTCGGCAAAGTTTGTTGCGCGATTATACAGGGTTATGCACGCTATACGGCACGGAAGTTTGCGGCTAAACCGTATGATTTTTAAAAAGTATTATTTTATGAATTGTCCGACGCCTACAGAGCGCATATTTAAAAAATATTTTTGTGATGTATAGGATGTCCCAAAAGCTCTAAAGGTATCAAAGTTGCGTTTTTTTTTAATGGAATGTCCCTGTATATTATTGCATTTTTGGATTCGCTGAACAAAATAAGGTTTATAATACCTAAATCTTAAGGTTTTTTAAATAATACGAATTTAATCAAAATCTAATCTAACTTTCACGTGTCAAATACTTTAGAAGTATTTAAGTTACGTAAGAATATAGTCAAGTATAACAAGATATAATATTTTATATCCCAATGATAATAAACTTATGTTATACAGGGTGTCCACAAATTTAAACGAATCAAATAAGAACTTTAAGTGGCTCTAACTTGATTAATTTAAATACAACCCCATATTTTTTAACTTACCAGGAAATGCAATTTTTAATTACCTATCGAATGGTATTAGGATGTTAATAGCTAAGTTTTCGCCTTTTTACAAAATACGTCAAATAGTCGTTCTGTGCGCCCTTTGGTGTTGTTTAATTGAAGGTTCCAATGTATCCAAGTAGCCTATGCCATTTACACGTCAAATCATTTATTTTATTTGTCAGTTTAGACTGCAAAGTCTCTTTTTGTTAGTTAGAGTGGTACTGTTTTTTGTAATTGGAGACGTGTTGGTCGTTATTTTAATGTTATCATTGTGTTGCTAAGTGAAAATGAAGAATTGTCCAAGAGAAGAGCGTATTGACATGATTTTCACCCTTGGAGAATGTCATAAAAATTGTTTATTGGCTTCTCGAG